AGATCATGTGACAGGATGGCAGACTTGGTTGTTCTGCTCTCTTCCACTGCTAGTTGGTCTCAGTCATCCACCTTTATCAAACAGTAGCAACCTGACCATTAATTTGATAGACTGCATTTTTAGGCAGAGCCATGTTATCCTTGGTGCTATTTCTCCCCCTCCAGCACAGTTGCTTGCTGCCCTCACATAGTGTCAATCACAGAGACCACAATGAAGTTTATTAACCTGGGTTCATTGAATGGTCATCTAAGAATTCACATATCTCACATACCCTTTTGAGGAGTGTAAGAGCTATTATGAAGGGTGAGGGTGCCACCAAGAATCTAAAGCTTTAAACTATTCCAATCAGGCTATTGCACAGGTATGGCACCCATATCTGTGAATTCACAGATGACCTTGAAGAGCAAAAATTGTACATACTGTATGTAACCAGTTCTTTTATGCCAATTGGTCTGTGTCTGCAGTGGACTGTATTCTGAGCCTTAGACTAGGCATTAATTGATATGGTCATGCTTACAAATTGAACAATTGTTTTTTCCTGTCAGGAGTTGATAACTGCTCCTTTTCTGACATGGGAGAGGATACTCTACTAAATAACATAACTCAGAAAAGTCCATACAGGTAGTCCTCACTTAACGACCCTAATTGGGACTGGTAACTCCATCACTAAGTGGAGCGGTTGTTGAGTGCAATGTCATGTGACCGCACCACTTAACAACAGCTGTTATGGCAGTCCTAGTTGCCATCATTAAGCGAATCCCATGCAGTTTTAGGTGAGGATCCACCCCAATCTAAGCCATTCCCAGCTTGGTCCTTCCCAGCCCTGTGCAAACTACCTGTGCTTCAGCTTCCCCCACCTGCCTATCTCCCCCCCATCTCTGCCATTTTGGCTGCCCTACACAGCAGAGCCAAGATGAGGCTGCTGAATTCCGCCACCGTACCTACCTGCCACCACCCCTAGTAGACCTTCTTCTGCCTCCTTGACTCTGCCTCGCCCTCTCCTCCACTGGGCTCACCGATGCCTCAAGCCCCACAGCAATAGGGCTCTGTCAATGCTGGGCTTGCCTCTGCCCCTGCCCAGTTCCTCCTCCATGCTGGAGGAGGATATTGGCAAGGAGTGCTTCATCTAAACTAAACTCATGCAAGCTACTGAGTTTGCTTTTGCAAGACCTGATTCTTATAGCACCGATTTTTCAGGCACTGAGGCCACCTAGACCTGGAGCATGGTGGCGGCCCAGGGCCTTCAGCAGTTTCAGCCTGCTCCAGGCCTCTACATCAGCCCCAGTGCCACCGTGGAGGAGGACCCTCGATGCCTGAAAAGCTTCAAGAGATGAGGACCCCATCGTTCGCACCCTCCCCATCCTCTTGCTTGCAGCCTTCCTGACAATGAGGAGAAGGAAGTAGAGGCCTGGGCTGAGATTGTGGCTTTACTGCATGGCATTGGGGTGGCTGGGGCTTTGCACTGCAGCGCTAGGGTGGCAAGCCACCCTGTTGCTGTGATGTGAAGCCCCGTTGCTGCGCGAAGTCCCAGCCACCCCAGTGCCACAAAGTTCCAGCCACTCTGGAGCCATGGTGCAAAGCCCCAGCTGCCCCATTGCCACCCTGCAAAGCCCCACTGCTGTGGTGTGGCGAGGAGCCCCAGCACTGTAGGAACACCACAATCATGCTGAGGAGGAGGACAGGGAGAAAGGTCAGCAGGGGGCGGGGGCGGGCGGTTGTAAATGCAGGCAGGCCCAAATTTTTATCATGTGACCACAGGGGGGCTGTGACAGTTGTAAGGTTGAGGACTGATCATAAATCCATTTGTGCAGTGCCTTCAAAAGGTCACTGAACAAATGGATGTTAGGTGACAACTACCAGTATCTAGATGTTTATATGTAAGTCACTACTCTTCCATGACTTACAGCCACAACGGGCAGCCTCCTCTGTAAAGGATTAATTCTCTGGTGTTTCTGCATTGGGAGTGGTTGGATTATCCAATCTTATCTCATGAATAAGTATGGCAGAATTATCAATCCCCAGAATACCAAATCATACAGAGATGTAGCGGGTAAACCCTGTGGTCATGCACTGTCTTGCACGGGAGTATAAAGAATTAATTATGAAACAATTCTGTCATAGATCATTCATCTGTAAATTATTATGAGATCAATGACCTTGCACTTATGACTGTATCTGTAGCCTTATTTTATTCTGATTCTGGTCCTCTATTTGTCTTTTATAAGCAGTCCCCATGTTACCCAAGTCCTGATAAACATAAACCTGACTACTATGCAAGGGGGATAGAATCAGTAGCCAGAGCATCTACACAGCGTGCGATTCAGCAGAGGGAGAATGGATGAATGCAAGGGTTCCTGGAATTAGAATCCCTATGTAACTTGAAGACTGCCTGCATTCATTCCCCAAAGAGTAGGATGCAGCTCCTTCTGTGGCACAAACAAGGGTACATTCACAATCATTAAACCTGTCTTATAAGTTGATTTTGATCACTGGTGTAATCCAGTAGCAAATGATTTAAACTCTATTACAGAGCTTACTACTTTGCTTTATCTGTAGTCATAAATGCATCCAGATTGTAACCTGATGATGGTATGGAGAAAGAAGAGATAAAAATAAATACTAGATTGTGGAAAAGGGTTCTTCTCATCACAACTGAAAGTGCCAAGCATTAAGAGTAGGACACAGAGAAAGAAACACACTACAGCTCTATCAGTTAATCAGGCCTGGAGGAGTCCCTGGGAAGACACTGTGGGAGGAAGGGCAGTGTCATCAGTTACATGCAATGATATCTATAGTGTCTGGCAGAACTAGGTAATTATAGCTCAGAAGGTCAACCCCTGCAACTGCCTATAGGCTTCTACAGAATTTTCCTCTCCATTCCAAAATAACAGGTATCAGGAAGATCATCTAAGTGTCATGCTATTCTGCTTTTAAATGTTGTTTAAAAAAGGAGCAGATATCCCAAGGGAAATACCGACTTAATATAACACAATAACTAACTGGAAAGACGTGTGATCTGAGAAGTGAAAATATCTGGGCTGTACAGATTTTCAAAGAGGTGCGTTGGGCTCAAGTTCTTTCTTAAAGCTGCTTCTCCAAGCAATGGGCTTCCCCTGCACGAGCAAAGCCAAAGGACCTTGTTGCCTTGTTTTGTTCTGTTACGCAGTGTCCCCTCTTAACCCTTCAGCCTTCACAAAGCCAAAAGAGAGTTCTGCACAAGCACAGCACCAACATGGAAGCCTCTTCCAGCTTTGGCTGGTGCTTCTGGAGCACTCCAGCAATGCTCTCCTCACAGTGTTGTTTTCTGGCACTCGCCAAAGTCAGAAGAAGCTTTGCAAGTGACACTGGAAAGACAGAGGTACAGGGAATTGCCACTGGGCTGAATCATGCTGCCTCTGCAGCATTAAGCTCTTCATCAAGGCAAATCGAAATTACTTGCAGAGACCTAAAAAATATATCCTGAAGAAGAATCCATCTGAGCACAAGCTTGAGGCCCCCCGCTCCTCTAATTCACTAGGGGCGAGGAAGGCTTTTTCTCCTAATCAGGGAATGGAGAGAAATGTGCCTTCATACAAACTCCAGCACATGCCAGGGTGTGCATTGAAGGAAGCAAATGAGCGTTTCTAAAAGTAGCAAGATCAAGTCTGTAACAGGGAAGGAAAGGGAAGGAAAGACTAGAAGAAGAAAAGGAGATATAGAACTACACTTCCAGATGCAGAGTGGCTAACTATTAAGCAGGATTCAAACAAGCAGAATGTGGATATATGAAAAACTTCATCACAACACAATCTTGTGTAAATTTTAAGGAAGAGGATGGAATGTCCTGTAGTTCAACTGACTCTTGGCTTTGAAAGACCAGGTGGCAAGGAAGTTTCCTGGAAGTTTTCTTTACCTGTGCTGCCTACTGCAGGCACACCTGGCCTGACTGAGCAGAATGTGTGCCGTTGTCTCGCATGCTTCCTTTCTGCAAGATAAAATATGCATTTCTTTTCCACAGGTCTCTCTTTCCTCCAAAGAAAGGTACATGTGACTGCCTAAGCTGTAAATCAGGGGTGGGGAACTGGATCCTTCTACAGCTGGGAGGTACGAAGCAGCCAAGAGCGAGCTTCACAGGCGGGCACTCACTCCAACTGTGGGAAGAGTAGGATTTGAGGAGGAGGGAGGGGCCTTGCTTGAGGTCCAACAGGCCCAAAGTCCTTGCCGAGCAGCAAGGTGGAATATAAATTGGAATCCCCAATGTCAGTAAAAGTCTGAAAACAAAATGAACCAGAAACCCAGAGAGAGCTGTATATTTTGTCTCCCTTAAATTTACAGGGGTTGGAGAACCTGTATCTCAGGACTGAATTTCCAGACCAAATACACACTTCACGAACCACCAGCCTATAACAACACCCAGGATACAAATCAAAGCTCCTTGTCCCACAGGCTGAATTCTTGAGCTCTCATTAAGCAGGAGTTCTCATACCAAGGATTCACTACAAATGTTCTCAAATATTTTCTCCATGCCAGCTTTACCTATGGAATCCTCCTGTAATTCCTGATGCTCCTCTTTTGAAGTCCAGAAATAAAACACTCAGCAGAACCAAACTTTTTACCTGAACTCCAGTATATTGGTATGAACCATGGCAAAGCAGAGTTTCTACCCACCCAACCAGAATAACTCAGAGGCCACGTGATATGATAGTATTTCATAAAACCATCATTTTCTGTTGTTGCTTCTCTCTCTATTCAGTCTATTAAAAAAAAATCCCTTCTGTAGAATTACTTTCTTGTTAGGTATGTAGAACACTATTAAAAAAAAATCCTCCCTTTGGAGAGAAGTTGGCAGCTGGAAACAAATGACTGCTGGGACACTAGGAAATTCTGATACTGGGGATTAGTAATAACTAACTAGTACAAGATTTGTTTTATTCAGATTTCATTACTTTCAACCACATATTACTAGAAGAAAGAATACACTACAGGAATATTCAAAAACACCTGATTAATAAATAACATACCTGTGAGATAAAAGGCTTTATACTGATCTAGCCGAAGAGCCTGTATTTCTCCATATTTTCCAGCTGCTCCACTGTTGGGATGGAACAATGTCTAGAGGAAACAGAAACTGGGAAGATGAGAAAGTTGCCTCTTTTGCTTAATGTCACATAAAAGGATACATGGATTCCAATAGAACCTGTTCAACCTGTGGAGTTCTTGGTGCTCTCTGAGCTTGGTTGTTTGCTTGCAGACGTTTCTATGACCCCAACTAGGTAACATCATCAGTGCGAGTGGGTGATGATGTTACACTTGCACTGATGTTACCTAGTTGAGTCATGAAATGTCTGCAAGCAAACAACCAAGCTCAGAGAACATTAAAAACTCCCCATACACAGATTCAAATGATAACTATGCCTCTAGTTATTCTGCTCCCATTAACACGTAGAACCCAAATTGTTAAATGCTTATTTCCATTCCCATGGACTTTTTAAAACTAGCTGGGTTCAACTTTGCACACTCCTTAGAATCAGAAGAGTTTTGAAAGTGAAATTACTCTATGTAGCATGTATATTTAGTCTACTGGGCTTGTGTGTTGCTTTTAAAAATACATAAAACTAAATAAGCAAGACAAGACAAGAGTGGGGCAAAAGAAATGTGTATATTGCTACAGGGAACCTATATACTTAATTCCACTTCCTAAGAACAAGATCCATTTTATTTAGCAGGGATGACTTTCTAAAATCTGTCTACATTCTGAACATGATGAAAGGCCTGAAATGCCACATATGGAAAACAGATTTATTGTTTGCTTCTGAAATAAACTCTCTCCCCTCACCCCGCAATTAAAACAGAGCCTTTCACTTTTATCTTTTCTGCATGACTGCTTCATATACTCACATTCTTGTGCTAGTAGGAAACAGCCATAAATCTGTTTTTATAGGGCTTTTATAGAGCTAGTGAGTTCCAAAAAAGCTTTCTTCCGCTTCTAATAGTGATGCATCTCAGCTCATTCATATATTCCTCCTCCAGTAAAGCCAGTTTAGTTACCTCACCCAATGCTTAAACCCTTGGCTTTCAATTCCATACATTTACAAAGGCCGTAACACCATTTCTATGCTCTGCAGGACTACAGAAGCAGAGATTAATTCATTTGTACAAGATTTGCTGCTATATCCCATATACATAGAGAAGCATGAAAAATAAATTCCAGTATTAAATAACAGTTGCAGGAACAAACTATCGAAACATCTGACTACAGTCTGAATCTTAGCCCTCCCTTATACAACTTAGGATATCAGTATTGTCAGGAAAATGGTTGACATGACAGGGAAAAAAAGCTAGTTTAACCATATTTGAGTACCACAAATTATATAATCATATCAAATTGACTGGTGTGCATTTTGTACCAAGGGACTGATAGTCATTTTTCTCATTGATCAAATATTAGATCTCTGATTAAACATTTTAAAATATAATTAGAATACCAACAATTGTGGGATGCAGGTATGAGCACACAACAGTAAAAATGTACTCCTGTCTCTTTAAAAAAAGCATTCCTATCATTTTCACTGTGCCAAGACAATATAGTATTGTAGGCAAAACTTCCAAATATGTTCTTAAAATATGCATTTATGTAAAACCTCAGATATCACTTAGTGTAAAAGATAGTTCTTCCCTTCAGTTTTCAGGAAACCTGTCTGCATTTTTATTTTAATTTACAAGAAGAAAATCAGAGCTACAAAACCACTCTGAGAACTAGATTTGTGATGAAAGAGGTGCCGGTAATAGACTGAAGTTAGAACTCTTTGGAGAATAAGCAGAATAAAGTATAATAGTTAAAATCAATTAAAAAATAAAGAAGAAATTATTAGGGCAGGCCATCAAACTTTCAGGGCTAAGATAACAACTCTGCTGTTTCTCACTAACACTCTTTCCTCGCTCTCTTCTCAGCTTCTTTCCACCAGTGTCAAGCTTCAACCATACGCCGCTTCAGAGAATTGCTGGTTCTCAGGACCGTATTTCCAAATCCCCAGCTGGCCGCCGGAGTTAACATAAATGCCAAAACAAAAGCCTTCTATTGTTGGTCAGTGAAATGAGGTGGAAAGACTCCCCTTTTTGATCAGGTCACTGCCTTCTTTCTTTTCAATCAGAAGCAAGCTGGGGGACTAGACAGTGAATATTTCCTACTGGATATGGCAACTATGCATCTTTGCTTCTAATAACCAACAGGGGATAAGTGGTATCATCCTCATCAATCACCAGAGAAATGTCTCTTTTTCCCCAATCAGTGCACAGATCTATCTATCTATCTATCTATCTATCTATCTATCTATCTATCTATCTATCTATCTATCTATCATAAAAATAAAGTGCTTGTCTGGAAAATTTCATATAATTGCGAAGGAGGAAAATAAACAATCAAATCTATAACACTTTTCCTATGTAGTATAAAAAGAAGTAACTATGTCTCATATTAGAGAGAGCCAGTTTGGTGTAATGCTTAAGGCACCAGGCTAGAAACTGGGAGAGTGTGAGTTCCAGCCACAGAACCAGCTGGGTGACCTTGGGCCAGTCCCTCTCTCTCAGTCTGGGAAGGAGGCGATGGTGAACTACTTCCAAAAACCTTGCCAAGAAAACTGCAGGGACTAGTCCGGGAGTAAAAAAACTGACTCAAATACAGTAAATTGGCTTTTCCCTGAGCCTTCAACCCTCAGAATTCCCCAACCAGCAAGTTCATTGCTGAGAATTCTAGGACTGAAAATGACCATGCATGGAAAGCACCCAGGTTGGGTGCTGAGCACTGAGTCAGCAGAAGTAGTTGAGGCAGCATGACTGCATTTTGCATCTTGGATGATAAGAAACTGAATCACAGAGATAATTCCCTGCTTTTCTACACCACAAGTTCAAAACAGTGTCCTCCATTTCAGTGTGCACCACCAAAGCCACGTGTGCATTTGTTTAAGACTGTGGGGTGTGTAAGAAAGGGAAAGAAGAGCAAGTAGGCATGCACACATTTGGGACTGAGCTGTGGTCCTACCTTGCACTGCTATGCTCTCCACAGAAACAGAGCCTTCAGGGTAAAAAAAAACAAAAAAACTTATCCCATGTTATACAAGAAAGCCAAAAATGGATTATCCTTCCTTTTTTAATTCCTCCATGTTGCAGGGAGGTGATGGAAAGCTGTTCTGTATTCACAGCAAACCATAATTCTTAATTTAGAAAACTATGATATGTCTTATCATCAAGGCCAAGAAGAGATGTTTCTGAATATATTAAAATTTTATTCACAGATAAAAATCCTAAAATTACAATGGCTACAGCCAAATATTTAACTATGGTTATAAAAACAAGGTCTTGTAAAAACATTAATACATTTGAATTTTAAATGTTTTATGTAATATTTGTAATTTATTTTATTTGTTAAACTGTTTTACCTAATACCTGAATTTTAGTTTATATCTCTAATTTGCTCTTTGTGTCTTTTGTAATAAGTAAGCAAGCAAATAAATAAATAAATGTCTTTCTTCTAGCTCTTGAAAGTAAAGAGGGATTAAAGTAAATTTTCAGAGCTTGGTTTGTTTTTATTAGGCATAATTTTTCAGACTTTGCAGGCTTGGAATATGATTTGGAATACGTGCTTCAAAATTCAGGTGAGCAGAACGCGATCTCTGCTCTTCATTAAAGAAACTCATCTTTCTTCAGGCTTTTCATTGCTTTAAAGAGTCAACTCATAAAAAATTAATGATTCTTCCAACTGCTGTGTCTTTTTTTCACATGCAGATAACGTTTAAAAAGACCAGCTGCTTTAATTAGTAGCAGAGAGGTGTTGTGCTCATACAAGGTTTAAAGCACTTCTTCCCAATCATGTCTCAAGCCTGCACAGTTCTCATAATTTCAGTTTCACTCCCTGAATATGGCTGGCACAGAGGTCTCTAATTCATTTAAAATTAATTTTGGATCTTGTCTTCAGGAGAACAAAATAAGAAAAGGGATACGTTTCCACGAGCCTAGATTCTGTTGTGAAGCATGGCTTTCTGTTGTGTCTGAATGAGCATGTTCTGCCTTCATAAGTTTCAAAACAGACAATTATCTGAGTAAACTAAATGTTGGCTACATGCCTGTCTACCCATTTATGAATACATCCATTATGAATAGCTCAGTTAAAAAGAAAAATACTTTAAAGGTTCCCAAGTAACATCACAGGTAGAAGCCAACCACTGTTGTGCCATGTTGCAAGAACATCTCCCTCCCTCCACCCACCCTTTTGAACTAAACACATTTAGGTCATTTCTAATCTAATCCATCCTTTTATAAATGTTATATGCCTTAATCCTTGGTCACTTACAACAGCACACCAAGGTAAGCCACTGTTATTGTACCTATGTTACTGAGGTGCTAGGAAGAACAGTTAAGGTTCATTTAGAGCTGTGCTGAGATTTGAGTTAGAAATTGCCAGTCAAAAGCCAAAGTGTATGGCTTTGAATATTATTTTACATAACCGAAATTCTATGATATTTTCAGTATTCCATTATATGGATGATTTGCCATAATTTAGGTAATGGCAGTGGTTCCCTTTCAATCTATGTCATTATATTCTAACTCACAAAAGTTGCTAAAGACACAATACAAAACAACTGCAATCAATATGACTCCATACTTAAATCCTAATATGGTTTATAGGGATGATGATGATGATGATGATGCTTTATTAAGGGCATATGAGGATATATGCTTAGTGAAAAACACTGATATTGTAACGATTCTAAAAGAAAATCTGAATAGTTCCATTGAACAGAACAGCAAACGCAATCACTGGAACATGGTGGAGCTACAGGCAGTCCTTGACTTACGACCATTCATATAGCTACTGTTCAAAGTTGCGACAGTGCTGAAAAAAGTGACTTACGACCAGTCCTCACACTTATGACCATCACAGTGTCTCCATGTTCACGTGATCATGATTCAGACGCTTGGCAACCGTTGCGCATTTACAATGGTTGCAGCATTCTGTGGTCATGTGATCGCCATTTGTGACCTTCCCTGCCAGTTTCTGACAAGCAAAGTCAATGAGGAAGTCGGCAGGGAAGGTTGCAAGTCACAGTCATGTAATGTCTTTCTTAACCACCACGGTGATTCGCTTAATAACTGCAGCAAAAAGGTCCCAAAATCGGGTGCGGTCATGTGATGCCTCACTTAATAACTGCACCGCTTAACAACAAATTTTCTGGTCCCCATTGTGGCTATAAGTCGAGGACTACCTGTATTCTACCATTCTGGCATGAGAAATATAGATCACCTAAAAAATGGATATGTGTCTGAAAAAAATACAAATTATTCCTCCTAGATAGATGTAGCATTTCTGGGCCCTGTTTCCTTCTTCCTCCTGTTGCATCATAGTCCTTTCCCCTGATTAGAAACCCTCAACAGAGCTTTTCAGTGGAAGTATTTGGAAGAAACTTATAATTATGGAGTCCAGAACTGGGCTTTTTCCATTTGCATTAATAACTCTCTAGAAAGCAGTTATGCATAGAATTTGAGGATTCAAGATTTTGAAATGCTGATTAGTCCTGGACCTTTTGCAACTTATTTGAAGAATAGAGCTGCAAGGGGAAAAATTTAAATAAAATGTATGCAATCACCAAGAAAAGCCACAAGTTAGATGTCAGCGATCAAAACAAGAATCTTCAGTGAAATTTCTTTTAAAAAACTTTAAAAGATTTTCTTCAACATCTGTAGAAGATGAGGGAAGAAAGTCTTTTGTTCAGAGATGGAAATACCATCAACTTCTTAAGTCACAGACCAAGGTGAGAGGGGAAGCTACTAGCTCTTTTTCTCAGGCACAAAGAACAGAAGACAATTGAATTATTATGAGAAGAAATCATGAATAAAATTCTGCATTTCTACCGTTAAAAAACTTCAGCCAGTAGACAACAAAAAGTAGAAGGATTACATAGATGTATGTACTGTGCAAAGAAAATAATTGTTATTATAACCCAGTGCAGTATAAGCTGTACCTATTAGAAGAACTCCAATCAAACAAAAGATGGAACTGGTACAGCAACAGCCTATACATGTTTACCTGGGAGTAACCTACTATTGCTCCTGCCTTTGCAATTTTATGTAAATTTAGAAAGAAAATCTAAATAGCACACTGAGAATCCCAGCCACAGAGTGCATGCACACTCACTGTGCATCAAGTCACACCACTGGTCCTCAGAAAGTGTTATACAAAAGAATTGGCAGTTGATTTCAGAAGAAGTTGTTTCCTGCCTGTACATGCCAGGGGCTGAACCAGAGATTTTCTATAGGCAAAGAAAATGCTCTACTGCTGAGCCACCAGAGTGTTTCTAAGAGGTAATGGGCGGATTTTACTTAAGTGTTATGTTGATTACTTGCTTGGAGGGAGAGTCCCCCCTCCCTACAGGAAGCCACGACCACGTGTCACGGGAGGGAAAATGGCCACGGATCCTGTTCATCACCCGATCCAGCGTTCGCGAGCGGAGGCAAAATTTTGCGAATGGAGCTGTTTGTGACCTGAATTGGTTGTGAACAGAAGCGTTTATGACCCGAGGTACCACTGTATATCTAGTAAAAACTGTAAAGCAGAGGCAAGAGACGGCGTCTTCTAAAATTTACATCGCTCATGGAGATGATAATCATTTGAAACAGGTCTCCCCTGTGTGGAACACAAGCAGTTTTACTGAAGTACAGAGTTTCCACCTACAAGCAGTGATGTTGATGCTCAGTGTTCAGAAGGTTAATGCCATACCTGGTGTCCTTTTCTTGAAGACCCAAACAGGACTTCAGAGATATCTATGCCATCAAATCGTCTGTTGGGAGGAAGGGTTGCATTCGCCAGAGACACCAAGGTAGGAAATATGTCTAAAGTGCTACAGAAGAGAACAGCCTGTGTTTAGAATATAGGTATGATGTTATGCAAACAATGCCAACAATGTTATAAAAAAAGACTTAGGAATCTATGCTTAAGGCTACCTCATCTGATGCCAAAATACAACATTAAGATTTGGATGTTGCTTATTAAAGACCTGCGTGCATCTTTTCTTTTTCGGGTTGTGTGTGCGTTTGAGTGCATGTGCATATAAACCCATTCTATAAAATAAAACATTAAAATCCTCCTCATAATGCAAACCATGAAATTAGTATAAAATTTACAAGTTCTGATTTGGCATAATATTGTAAGTGCTGAACTGGAAAAGTTTGTGGAGGGTAGAGACAAAAGAAAGTTCTACTGAATTATGATGGAGAGCAGAGATTTCACAAACAACCACAGAAGTACTGAAAAGCCTTGCACGGGATACTGAAGTTCCAGTTTCAATTTACTGGAGTTTCTCTCTGGATCCCCTTTTGGGTTTCAGCGATTTTGCCAAATATTGCTCACACATTCAAGAAGATCTTTCTCTGCAGTCCTGTGAGCGAAGAGGTTGGATTTTAAAGTTATAGGTTGTTGCTGAAGATGTCAGATCCTGTTGTTCATATGCACACTGTCCTAGTTCAAATTAAGTACTGTAATTACATCCATATCCAGTTCATGTAAAATCCAGAATTTTTTCTCTAGGGAAAGGTTCATGTTAACAGTGAGAAATTAGCCATATAGAGTACACAAGGCCCTTGTTGATCATATGGAGTTAGTATAATGTGAAATTTATATAAAATAGGGTAAAATATCTTAAATTGAAACCCTGTGGTGTGCTCAAAACTAACCAAGAACATCAGAACGACTCAGTCAGCCTAAAAGGGGAAAATACTAGTTATCTGTTTTATTTTTTTTTAAATGTACACTCCATGGTCTAGGAAAATATGGTTTCACTTATAGTCGTGTGAAAAAGAAAGTACGCCCTCTTTGAGTTCTATGGTTTTACGTATCAGGACATAATAAAAATAATCTGGACCTTAGCAGTTCTCAAAAGTAGGTAAATACAACCACAGATCAACAACAACACATGACATATTATACCATGTCATCATTTATTTTACAAAAAGAAAGCCAAAATGGAGAAGCCATGTGTGAAAACATGGTCTAGGAAAATATGGTTTCACCTATAGTCGTGTGAAAAAGAAAGTACGCCCTCTTTGAGTTCTATGGTTTTACGTATCAGGACATAATAAAAATAATCTGGACCTTAGCAGTTCTCAAAAGTAGGTAAATACAACCACAGATCAACAACAACACATGACATATTATACCATGTCATCATTTATTTTACAAAAAGAAAGCCAAAATGGAGAAGCCATGTGTGAAAAACTAAGTACACTTTATGATT